CCCCAAAACCCCAAAACCCCAAAACCCCTCAAGCAAGTTAGACAAACAAATTAAATTAGATAGAATTTAGAAATGAAGGATATAAAATAATTAATTTGCAAGCATTATAATTTTTTACATTCTCTAAAACATTTATAAAATACTAAATGAAAGACTTCCTTCATTATCAATTGAATGAGATAATAGGTTAAGGAGGATTTGGAGAGGTTTGGAGTGCCCTTGATACAACTACTGACACTCTAGTTGCAATAAAATTTGTACCTTACATTATTGAGCGTTAAACTAATCTAGAACAATAATAAAATTAGTTAATAATAGGAGTTGAAAATTTTGACAATTATAAAAAATGCAAAGATTTAAGGTAAGAATTAACTAATTTATTTGAGTAGGTTTTTGCAAGATTCTGTAATCAGGTTTGATTTAGGAAAAAACTTGTTATATTGTGATGAATTAATTAGGCAAGAGTCTAAGAGACATAGCTCAGGAATAAAGAAGAACTTTTTCTCTTCAAACATGCTGCCTTATTGGAGCATAAATGGTATTCAAATTTCGCAATTTATATCATTAAATAGATAGATAGACTTCAAGACTTTCACTCTGTTGGATATGTGCATGCTGATATTAAACCAGATAATGTTTTAATCGGCTCTAATAACTATTTCGACAGAAAATCCTCTTATCTAAGTTTAATAGATTATGGATTATCAACTCAATATCTATTAGAAAATGGAACTCACAAGCCTGTAGCTAAATCTAGTAAATTTGTTGGAAACGTCGGTTTTGCAAGCAAGCATTCTTTTAATTAGATGGGTATATAAGTATGAGTTTTAATTTTATTTAGAATTGACTAGAAGGGATGACATAATTTCCTTATTATACATGCTATTATTTTTGCTAGAAGGGGGCCTACCTTGGATGAAGAACAATAACAAACCTCTTAAAGAATAGTATAAGGAGGTAGGCAAGTTAAAAAACAACATGACTCCAGAGTATATTTGTTCAAAATCAAGAAAATCGTGTAATTGAATATTTAAATGTTAATCATAATAAATAGTAAAATTACTGTCACTTGTTAAGAATGCTTATACTTTGAAATATTCTGAGGAGCCTGATTATCAATGGTACAAGGATCAATTCAATGGTATTCTAGACTCTCTTGGTGGTAGATCAAGCTTTTAATTTGACTGGGTTGAGTAGAAAGTAGATCTTAAAAAACCAAGCTAATTCTCACCGAGTCCAGTTATTGTTGAGTTATAAAAAAATTTGTAACTAGAGTAAAGGAGAATTTCATAGATGAAGGTCTCTAAAAATGCCAAAAAAACTCCTCTTCATCGAGAAAGTAAATCGAATGTAAGAAATATGATTACTTAATAATAAGATAGATTCTGGAATGTCTTAATAGCAATGAAAATTCCCTCGTAAAGGGCAACAATACAATTAATGATTATTAAATAAATAAGTAACCTGAAGAGAGTCACTTGCTTAAACCAGACTTCAAAAGAAAAGAAATGCTAAAGTATCTGCAAAAATCTAATTCACAAAGGCAACTTGACAGCAGTAAAAAACAGAGTTAGCAAGATTCCTTGAACAGCAAGGAGCTAGATAATGAATCTTAAAAATAAGGGCAAAATGGATATGCTTATTATAATCCAAAATGCATATTGAAAAACCAAACAGAATAATAGTAATATAGAGTGATTCATTAATTTATTAGAAATGGAGTAAAAGATTCTCCAGATCAAGAGAAACCTTAATTTAACAATTGGTGGTCCAGGAAAGAAGCAACTATTCACGATTTTCAAGGTGACGTGTCTCCGTTCAGAATTCATAAGCTTAGCAAAGATCACACTAAAATGTAGCATGCATTGATTTTGAAATTTAGTCAGTCTAGGAGAATGTCAGATTCGAAGTCTCCTCAAGGTAGCGAACACCAATAATTACAAATATAATAAAAATTTAACTTCAAGCAACCACCTAAGCAATCTAGCTTTAAAATTAAATATGCTCCCAGCCCTCAAAATGGAGGCAAAAAATTTGACTAGTAAATCTAATATAGTTTTGCTGATCCAACACCTGATTAATAATAGAACTAATTTAAAGAGTAGTAGAATCATGACCTACCTACAAAATAGCTTGGCGAATTAGAAGAATCTAAATAATAAAAAGGAATAGATTAAGTGAATAATAGTTTCATGGAAAGTATGGAATAGGTATTATTTTCTAAAAATGATTATGATTTATAGATGTAATCGAACACAGATGAACTGATCGCCATTGACGAATTGCCTAATATGAGTGTCCACTAAAATTACATCAAACAAATCAATAAATCATTAATTTCGTGAAGAGTAAAAGATTCACAGAAATCTAAATAAGCCATCATTATTAATATAAATAGGTTCATTTTTTATCAATTCACACATCATTCGATAAATTTTATTTATGGGGTTTTGGGGTTTTGGGGGTTTTGGGGTTTTGGGG